AACTTAGCAAGACCCTGTGTCAAAAACTTTTAACAAATGTCACACACACACACACACAGTGTACATATTTACATACACACATGTATTTGTATATGTACTCGCATGTATATGCTGCACACCATGCAGACTCCTAGCAGAGTTAATCCTCAACTGTTACAAGTGAGAGGAGACAACCCATGAAGACTTCTTTCTTTGCTTGCTTCTCGTGTGCTACGTAAGAGCATGTTGTCTTGGTTGAAATAACCAGAGGACAAAAGTTCGAGCAGCAGGAAAACGAACTGTAAGGTTTTTTTTTTCAGTGGTGGTGGTGCTAGAGACTGAACCTAGGGATGTCCTACGTCTAAGCTATCCCCAGCTCCTTTTACTTTTTATTATGAAACAGGTCTTCCTGAGTTGCTCAGGCTGGCCTGGAAATTGCAATCCTCCTGCCTCAGCCCACCAAGTAACTGAGGTTACAGACCCGTGCCACCAAGACTCATAGAAATCTTAATTCGTAGAGTTTCTCGTTGCTAAAAGCTGTTCCTCCAATTCTTTAATTGTTTTTGTTATGACAACAGCCGTGTGGAAAGGAAGGAGGGAAGACAGGGTTTCAATATGCAGTTCTGGCTATCCTTGAACTCACTATGTAGCCTGGGCCGGCCTCAACTCAACGGCAGTTGTCCTGCCTCAGTTTCCCAAGTGCTGGGATTACAGTCCTACACCACCATGCCCAGCTGTTTCTCCAGCTCTGTCCCACACCCTACGAACATGCCGTACCCAAACTGGACTGGAGGGATGAAGCCCTGCAAAAATGTTCCTCCCATGACAGTGATTAAAATTCCCCAAATCATGTTCACAAGGAAACAAAACGTGAAGCTTAAGCAAGCAGTGTATTTCCAGTGGGTGTTTATCTTCACCATGTAGATGACCAGTCCCCATGTGTGAGCCAGAAGAATTGAGGGGAAAACGACCAGTATCACTGTCCAGTTTCAACTCAAGATTCTACAAAAGCGACGACAAAGAAACTGAAAAAGAATGGCTGTAAACTGAAAATTCTTACCAAGTTCAGCACAATAAAAGGTCTCTGAAGCTTTACAGCACTCAGGTAACCTTCTAAAATCAATGTTACTACATGGATTACACCACACAAAGCTTGGTGCACACTGGCCATAAAATAGCACATTCCAGAAAAAGAATGGCCAATTCTGGTCTCAGGGTTTCTTCAGAGACTTGGGCCTGGTGAATGGGGAGGGGCAGTCACACACCAAACATTCTTTTTCTAGAAAGGTACTAAAAAGCAGAAAGGTCACATTTTAAAGAGTGCCTGCCAGTCCTGTGTTCCACAGAGCCTCTGGGGTGGCCCAGGGGAACTGAGACCCCCGCTCACCCCAACGCATCACCACACAAATGCGCCTGCCAGCTGACAACAGTGGAGCCAATGGTGTCCTCTGCCGCTTAATATTTTATGCTGAGAAAAGGCTCAGTATTGCACATGTATAATTCTCGTAAGTTAAAGCTGAGTGTTACAGGACAAGACTAACCTAAGAGGACACAGTACTTCACCCACTTGAGATGCACACAGAATAAACAAAAGAAAGCTCAGGGACTGTATCGGCCAGGCCGGATGAGAAGTGAACACAATCCTGTCGAGGCATTTCCTAAGGCTGCGAAGATGACTTCTTTCGGAGTGCAGTAATGAGGCGTCACCCCCACCCACTTGAGCAGCACACTTCTACAGGAACGTGCCTCACAGCCCGCACCTGCAGCTCTCCCAGCAGTGCAGAGGTGCAGCGCTGAGGCGGCAGGCGCCCCAACAGCGGGCACTACTGGGAAGGGAAGGGGCCTCCAGCCCCACGGCCCGCTCTCACCTGGTCACCACAGCCTGAATCTGGCACCCAACCCTCTCCGTTTTGCACCTCGGCCATGCCCTGCAAGTCTTGCGTGGGCACAGAAAGCTGAAAGCTCCTGCTCAGGGCGCGGCTCACTAAACCCTGCCTTCATCATCTGGTCCTCTGCACGCTGCAGACACAATGTGGAAAGGCCCACAGCTCACATTCTTCATTCTTCAGTCTCCATGGCTAATGGTGTCTGTACACAGAGCATGTCAGTAAATACAAAAGTCCAAATTACCTTCAGGCTGGACACAGAACTCAAACTTGTAGTGTATGTACTTCAGATAAGAAAATATTGCTGGGTGTGGTGGTGCACGCCTGTAATTCCAGCACTCAGGAGGCTGAGGCAGGAGGATCACTGTGGGGTCGAGACCAGCCTGGGCTACATAGTGAGTTCCAGGTCAGTCTCAACTACATAGTGAGACCCTGTCTCAAAAAACAAAAACAAAAAAACAGATAAGGAAATATTCTTTGTTTTGTTCTTTTTTTTTGGACACAGGGTCTCACTATATACTTCAGGCTGGCCTTGAAGTCCCTATGCTGCCCAGGCTGGTCTAGAACTTTTGGTGATACTCTCACCCCAGCCTCCTGAATGCTGGGATTGTAGATATGTGCCACCACTCCTGGTACAGGAAAGTTCTTAAATTTAAGTAAATAGAAATGAGACTTAAAGCTAGCTGAAGGGAAACCCCAGCTCTTTTGCTTCCATTGCCTCTATAATGTAAACACGAAGTTGGGTGGGAGTCCTGTGGGGTTTTCGAAAAGATCAATAAAGTCAAAGATCTCTTTAATACAAGTGGAACTTGAACCTCAAAAATAGAAGGAAAGAAAGCAAAAGAGAAACCCCATACAAATAAAGGTACAGACTAGTTTTCAGCAGGACTGATAGACACACTTTCATCCTGAGGTACGGCCGGCTGAATGAATCACTGATATTTCCCTCTGAAATCCTTCAAGTGCAAGATTAAGTACACAAGCAACCCCAGCACAGGCCTTATGTGCACAGCAGGCGTGAGATGAAATTAACTCCACCTATTCAGAAGTAAGGAAAGTCACACTTACCATGTGCTCGCACACACACCGAGGTGGAAATGGCTCGCTTGCCGATTAGGCTAAATACCCTGGCAGCCAACATTCTGAAAGATGCAAACACACAGCTCTATGAATGAGTGAACACCTATTAGAGAGAAGTCATCTTTTTCCCCAGAGTATTTTGAAAGTAAACGCAATTCATTTGTTTGCTTCTCCCCAGTATAAATGAATTTTTTTTTTTTAAAGAAGGGGTCTTTTATGCAGTTCAGGCTGGCTCTGAACTCACAGCAACCATCCTGCCTCAGCCTCCCAAGCTCTGGGATTACAGCTGTGGTCCACCACACCTGGCTAAATGATTCATTCTTTATATAACGGATTTTGAATTCACAAAATAACCCAGGCTGAGGTTTCTCTTAAGTGTTTCCACGGAGCTTCCTAATAAACTAAGTGCCAAAGCACACACTAGTACAACTAAAGAGAAAATTGTCCTTCCCTTTAAAAAGCTTTAAAAAAAAATTCAGGTGACTGAAGAAGCCAGCAATCAGTAAAGCACTGTGCTGCCACTACAGATTCTGTCCTTGGCAAAAAGGAACTGCTCGCACCAAGGCCCGCGGACTGGAAGAGACGATCGGAGGCTGCACACGCAGCCTGGCGCACTTCCAGTCCCTGCAGCCATCGGACGACCTAGACCGCCTGGTCACCTGGACCGCGACACCGCAGGCCCCCTTCTAGGACGCCCCTCTGGGGCCCTGGGCCACGGGGATCCGCAGTGCGGAGAAAATGCCTCCCGCTCTTC